TCAACAGATGGTCTATTGGAAGCAAAGGGTAAACATTAAGTGGGTTCAGTTAGGGGATGAGTGTTCAAAGCTTTTTCATGCCAAGGCAACCTTGAGGCACAGAAGAAATCTGATCACCTCACTCTCTGACCATTCTAGAGCTTTGGTATCTAATCACAGCTTAAAGGCTGACCTCATTTGGAATGATTTCAAAGAGAGACTGGGGACATCAAATTTTGAGCTGATGCTATTTGATCTTGACTCACTCTTTTCTCAAGATGTTGATCTTAGCACTCTTAAAGAACCTTTCAGTCATCAGGAAGTGGATGAGATTATAAAGTAGTTGCCCCTGGATAAATCTCCTGGCCTTGATGGCTTCAATAATGATTTTTTCAAAAAAATGTTGGCCCATTATTAAGCAGGACTTTTATAGGCTGTGCAATGCTTTTCATCAGGGTCAGTTATGTCTTCAGAGCATAAATGGATCCTACTACATCGCACTTGTTCCAAAAATAGATGGGCCAACTAGAATCAATGACTTCAGACCTATTTCTCTGCTTAACTCCTCTATCAAGGTACTCACCAAGCTCCTAGCCAATAGATTACAACCACTTATCACAAAATTGGTTCATGTAAATCAATATGGGTTTATTAGGACAAGGACAATTTAGGATTGTCTTGCTTGGTCCTTTGAATACCTGCATTTGTGTCACACCTCAAAGAAAGAAAGAAATCATCCTTAAGCTGGATTTTGAGAAGGCCTTTGATAGGATTGAGCATGGGGCTATGCTGGAAATCATGAAGAGGAAAGGCTCTGGAGAAAAGTGGTTATCTTGGATGGAGCTGATTTTCAGCTCAGGGACATCTTCTGTCTTGTTGAATGGAACCACTGGGAAGGTGTTCCATTGTTAAAGAGGAGTAAGGCAAGGGGACCCTCTCTCCCCCTTACTCTTTGTGTTAGCTGCCGACCTCCTTCAGTCCATTGTTAACAGAGCAAAAGATTTGGGGCTGCTCAATCTTCTAATCTCTTTGCAGTATACTAGTGATTTTCCTATTCTCTAGTATGCTTATGACACCTTGATCATCATGGAAGGATGTGGAAGGCAACTGTTCCTGCTGAAAGCCCTCCTAAATTCATTTGCCACCTCCACTGGTTTAAAAGTTAATTTCTCCAAGCCAATGATGATTCTTGTCAACTTATCTGCAGAAAAACTTCAACACCTGTCAGTAACTTTTGGCTGCTCAACTGGGACTCTCCCTTTCACCTACTTGGGCCTGCCATTGCCGTTAACCGAACTAAGAGTACAGGATTTCTTACCTCTAGTGACAAGATGTGAAAGGAGACTTGTTAACACCTCGCTCTTTCTGTCTCAAGCTAGAAAACTGCAGATCACTAACTTTGTCTTCACCTCCTTGCCAACCTTTTTCATGAGCACCTTCAGCCTTCATGTTACCATAAGAGAACAAGTGGACAAGTTTAGGAAACATTGCTTGTGGAGAGGATCTAATGAAACCAATAGAATTAATGCAAAAGCAGCCTGGAAAATGGTTACCAGACCTAAGGATGAAGGGGGCTTAGGAGTTTTGGACTTAAGATCTCAGAATGAGGCTCTTCTTCTAAAAAACCTGCACAGATTCTTCAACAAGGCAAACATTCCTTGGATTCATCTTGTCTGGGAGAAGTACTATAGCAATGGCAAGCTTCCTAAAAAAGGACGTACCCAGTGCAGAGAGCTCCCGCTCTGTGCGGGGTCTGGGGAAAGGTGTTAGTGGTAAGCCTTACCCTCGCGTGTGCAATGCGAGGAGACCGCGACTCAAACCCGGGACCTTCCGGTCACAGGCGGTAAGACTCTACCGCTTGCACCAGGCCCGCCCTTCAATGGCAAGCTTCCTAATCACACAAAAAGGGATCCTTTTGGTGGAAGGATATTTTGAAATTGCTGGATAAGTTCAAAGGGATGGCCTTTGTGACTGTGCTGGATGGATCCACATGCCTTCTTTGGGATGATTGTTGGCATGGACAGCCACTCAAACTCGAATACCCTGAGCTTTATTCTTTTGCCAAGAAGCCTGATATTTCCCTCAGGAATGCTACCTCGGCCAACTCTGTCACCAGTCTTTTTAATCTCCCATTTTCTGTTGAAGCTTTTGAGTAGTTCCAACAGGTGGAGAGTTTATTCCAAAATTGAGAATTGGTTGATGAAAGGGAAGTTTGGTCTTATATCTGGGGCAGCCCCAATTTCACCTCAAAAAGGCCTACAAACACCTAATTGGCACATGCAGAGCACATCCAACCTTTAAGTGGATTTGGAAATCATCCTGTCAGCACAAGCACATGGTTTTTTCTGGCTACTTTCCAAGAACAGGCTTAGTACGCGCAATATCTTGAAAAGGAAAAACTTTCACTTGCTCTCTTATAATTGTGTTCTCTGTGCTGACAATACTGAGGAGACTTTGGAGCATCTCTTCCTTGAGTGTGACTTAGCCTGAGCCTGCTGGAATTTAGTTGGTGTGGCAGTTGGTAACTACAATGACCCTTTACCGATTTTTGAGGATTTCAGAAGGCAGTTAGGAGTCCCTTTCTTTATGGAAATCATTATCATCATGAGTTAGAGTATTTGGACACTAAGAAATTATGTAATCTTTAAAGGGATCCCAGCAAGCAGTTTGAGAGGCCTGGAGATCTTCAAGGCCACCTTCAGGCAACTCCTTTGGAGAGCCAAGAAGAAGTACTTCACTTTCATTGTGTCATGGCTAGAGCAGCTTGTGTAATTTGCTCAATTTTCTTTGTCTCGTTTTTTGTCTCCTGAATCTCCTCCCCTCTCTCCCGCCCCTCCTGTTGTTTTTTACTCTTTTCTTGAACTCTTGTTCTGTCCTTATAACCCCCTTGGTTGCCTTTTTAATAAAATTTTCAGTAGGGGCTCCTGAGCCCCTCCTGTTCCCTCAAAAAAATGTATAATTTATTTAGTTAGAATACTTTAATTAAAAATTGTAAAAACAATATAGATTCTAATTATATATCAGGTCGGTCTTATTCTTGACCGTAGCATTGAGTTTTGTAGTTTCCACTGTATCTCATGTAAGTAACTGATCCGAGCTCAAGTTAGTCGAAGACGTGGGTGTACACCCAAACCACCCTAAGTCTTTGAGGAAAATTTAGATGTCTATTTCTTCTTCACTGAAAAGACACCTATTTCCTCCTAGATTGGTCTTTTACCTCATGTAATGCTTATCAAGATCATAGGTTGTGTTTGATTTGGTGGCGGGACAAGGACAAGGTGGGATATTCCACTTTGTAGTGTTCGTTTGATCAGACTAGGCATACTAGCATAGGTAGTGCACAGGCCCTGTCTCCTCGATCACCAATGTGTGATGCAACGACATGCATCACCGCAGGTAGCCCAGTCTGGAGAAGAGCAAGTCCCGCACCTCGTAGCCTCGTAGGGGACCAGCTCGTTCACCACGCCGCGCACCAGCATCGCCGACGCCACCAGGGACACCGCCGTCGTCACCGCCTTCTTGCACGACTCGATCGCCTTGTCGTAGGTTGTTGCCATGGCAATAGCTGGCCGGCCAGTATTTCGCATCCTCTGTCTCTCTCACTCAACTTTCAGACCCTACAGTTCTCTCGCTTAGAATTGAAATGCTGGGAGGATCGATCGCGTCGAAGGAGGGGGTGAATGAACAATGTTGGTTGTGCACTTGTGACGCTCAACTTTCAGACCCTACAGTTCTCTCGCTCAGAATTGAAACGCCAGGAGAATTGATCGATCGATTGCGTCGAAGGAGGGGTGAATGAACAATGTTGGTTGTGCAGTTGTGCTATGTCTAGGGCTCCTCTGTCTCTCTCGCTCAACTTTCTGACCCTATAGTTCTCTCGCTCAGAATTGAAATGCCGGGAGGATCGATCGATCGATCGCGTCGAAGGAGGGGTGAACGAACAATGTTGGTTGTGCACTTATGCTATGTCTAGGGCTAGGTTTAATATATGGGCGCCACTGATTGGTTGGTTGTGCACTTGTACTGTGTCTGAGGCTGGGTTTTATATATGGACGCATCGAAGGAGGGGGTGATCGAACAATGTTGGTTGTGCACTTGTGGTGTGTCTGGGGCATGGTTTTATATATGGGCGCCACTGGTTGGTTGGTTGTGCACTTGTGCTGTGTCTGGGGCTGGGTTTTATACACGGACGCGTCGAAGGAGGGGGGAACGAACAATGTTGGTTGTGCACTTGTGTTATGTCTGGTTGGGTTTTATATGGACGCCACTGGTTGGTTGGTTGTGCACTTGTGCTGTTTCTGGAGCTAGGTTTTATATACGGACGCCACTGATTGGTTGGTTACGTGAACTGTGAAGTGTGTGATGGATGAGTCAATAAGTTTTATATATTACTAAAAAAATGTGGTTAGCCTATGCCTTGGCTTGGCGACTAAGTTTTATATATTACTAAAAAAAATGTGGTTAGCCTATGCCTTGGCTTGGCGACTGTAGAGAAAAAAAACGGCGTCACATTGGTCTACGGACATGATTTCTTTTGGGTGGCGGCCGCGCATAGAGACATGCTATGGACAGAGACGCAAATCAAGCTCTTGAATGCTTTTGTATCCATCCGTTTTATTCGAGCAACAAGCATTCTTGTATTTCTAGCTTTATGTGTTTGTTCGAAAGAAGTGTAAAGAATAATAGAAATGTTACAAAGCCTGATCTTGTTGCTTATCTTCCCAGTTCTCAGCAGCTATACATTTTGATAAGCAGCCCACTAGCTATTCAGTTTATCAGTTGCAACGATTGAGAACTTGTAGCACACAAGTGCAACAAAACCTCACCATTGCAGACAGTAATGGTGGTAACTGGTAAGCGAGATAATTCGAGAAAATGGCGGCACACCTTAATCACATCCCTGAAGCACGTTTTTAGTTAACAACTAAATAACCTGGAGAGGTCTTAGCCTTGACCAGGAAAAGATGCCAGACTTGCTAAGTAGGGAGTGCTTCTGTGTCGTCTCATTTCTTCCTTCCGTGCTACCTCTCTTCCTTTTTTATCTCATACATAGAACTGAAAATTTCTTTTGTTGCCATGGCCCTGAATGAAAACACAGCAACAAAGACAAACAAACACTGTTGGTATAAGATGGCAACTGGAAACGCAAGCAATACTATATCAATTTTAGAAGAATCATCCAAATACCTTCGAGCGATGGCAATGCATTCTCTGTCTACAAAACCTATCAAAGGTCCTCTGTCCTGAGGATTAGCATCCTCAGAAACTACAGGAAGGTGATCCACACCATGAGAGTCCATAATCTTCTCTGCAGTAGTAAGTGGCATCTGAGGCGTCACAGACCACGATTTACACTTGCCTGCTTGGCAAACATGAGATATGAGGAGTTCCTTTACCTGCATCAAGGTTGAGAAAGCTACCAATAAGTTAATTAACAAAAAAGACCATGTGGCAATAAATATTATGTATAGACATCCTCTAAATTACCATTTGACCTCACTTAACAAATGTAAAAACCATTTTATTTTATATATATTAAAGAAAAACATGGAAGCACAGCAAAAATCAGAGCAACTTGAGAGGTCAAGATTGATCATGACCCCAGGAACTAACCAAACCTGTCAAATTTTTCTTTATTTGATACATTCCTAACACAAATGGTATGGTGTCTAGTGTAATTTGCTCCATGCCTGCTTGTTTTGGGGCATTTGGATCATAATGTGGCATGCAATGCTCAACTCCCTACGTAAATATAAGTCTACTAGGAAATCGACACGGTCACCAATATTACACTTTGACTAATAATCTAAATAGAATATATTGCTGTAAATAGAAAGAGTTATATATTATGAAGTATGTTCCATGATTAATATACTAGCATCAACCTCATGTTATAACTTTTTAGTCATTGAAGGCAAAGCCTAAAAAATTTGACTTAGCACAAAGGCACAAGGCTAAATGGAGTTATATTTTGGATCCAAGGGAGTATATGGTACAATTGAGAGTTGTGATGGATGCAATTATTATGTAAGGTGGGTATACCTAAACAAACTGGCGCAGGTGGTGCCCTCTGTTGATAAAAATAAGGAAAATAACTATGCATACGACAAGACTTGAGACAGCAAGAGCTCCATAGAACTGAAAAAAAAAAACTACCGGACCTATAGCATGCCTATGTATTATACAGAACTCCAAAATCAATCAAAAGATGATTGAAAAACCAGTGTTATTCTCACATTTTACCTCAGCATGTGCTCTGGTAGTTTTTGCAGCTCTGCAAAAATCTTGGATGTTCTTTAGTGCCAGCAAGCCTCTTACAAATGTGTTATTCTCAGTTATCATAACAAAGGGCTGCTTCTCGGCGAGCATAAGATCTAGTGCCTCAATTAATGGAGTTGTCATTGAGACGGAGAAGTAGTTAGTTTTCATGGCCTCTGCAACAGTAAGATTTTTTAACATATTGTCATCGTTGGCATCATAGACACAAAGGGAGCTTTCAATTTTACATAATTCTAGCGGCGAATCATCTGTATCCATGGAAGTGGCCTGTTTGTTTTGAGTGAGCATGTTGTTTGCTTGCTGAGGAATACTTGATTTATCCTCCTGAGAATCCAGCTTACTTCTTTTAGAGAACCTTTGAGGAGAAGCAATCCAGGATGATAACCCGACAGCCCCAAGCAAAGGTAGAACTATACGATAGTCTTGTGTAAGCTCAAAAAGTAGCAGGACAGATGTCAGAGGCACCTTGCATACACCAGCGAGGGTAGCTGCCATACCTACCTGTGAAGATTAAACAAAAAGGAAGAAAACATAAGCAGCGATCATATTTTCTGGTTAATATTGCTGCCCAAGATTTGGCAATAAGTTGTGACAGGGAGTGGAAAGCTAGTTAACACTAGATATGGTACCTGTACGTTGCAGCGGAAATCTAATAAGCCCCAATAAATAATGTTAAATTCCTATTAACTATCTTCACAACTATTTATTTTTTACTGAAAAATCAAATAGGTCATTAAGCTACTAGCAATTATCTGGTGATGTCTTTAGATTGAATAGTTAATAGCAGGTGGTATTGTGACTCTTTGAGTAAATATATCGAATTATACGGGTAACAAGCCAATGGTATGGTGGGGCTTGTAAGAGGTGGAATTAAGATAATAACAATCTTGAACAGAGGACAACTGCATAACAATAATATTATCGTAATATATAATGATGGATATCAAGGGATTTGATAATACAAAAAAATGCAGATGAAAGAGCTGAATTTGGTAGACATGTTACCAGGCCATATGCTTGAGGTGATGCCACATCTAGGAATGGGACATGCAGCAGTGGTTCAGGGCCAGTAAATGTAAACCTCATGAATTTGCCATATGCCATCCCTGTGGCTGCACCAATAAAAAGAGATGGTGCATAGTAACCACCAACCAATCCAAAAGCCCTGCACAAAGATGTTGCTAATATTTTCACTCCAATAAGCTGAACTAATATGGTTGTTGAGAGGCCGCCTGTAAATGGTCGTGATTCCAGCAAGATATCAACATTTTCAAAGCCCCAGTACAATACTTCAGGGTACAAAAGTGCAAGGAGACCAACAATGAGGCCACCTAAAGCCGGAGATGCAGCCTTCGGTAACCCTGTTGCCCCTTGTAAACTTTCAACTGCCTCCATAGCAAGTGATGTACATCTTGATAATGCAATTGACACCAACCCACAGAAGACACCCAGCAAAACGTACAGAGGAAGTTCTGACATTTATGAAGTCATGTAAATATCCTCACACTTTTAATCTCTGGAGCATGAGAAACAAAATGTAAAAAGAGGATATCATTAAACAAACACCATAACTATCCTACCATCAGGAGGATTGTAAAGGCATTCTGTGACTGTATCAGGCAAAAGATGGTAGCACAGCTTATTATTTAGTAGTATCATGTTGGTGTAATATGAGTTTGAAGGACTTTTCTGTAAATATGTATGGACAGAAAGGAGAGTTTGTATGCTCTCAGAGACAATATACACCACCTCCAATTCCCCAGCTAACTTATCAGGACAGAAGCATGTGCAATTTGAAACAAATTAATGCCAACATCATCTAGCTTACAACAATATTACATTTTGTATCATATTTCATCACTAAAAATTATGTGTAAGTGGATCAGCAGTGCTACAAATTTCATAAGTACCTGTTGGGGAGCGAAAATCATATTCTGGGACAGTGAAAGCAGGATCAGAACCTAGACCAATCTCTGAAACAACAGATGCTATCACTGAACTGAGTATCACCATAGGTGTCGAGTTGGCAAGGGATGAGGAATCAGCAGAAGGCCACAAAACAGATTCCACAGCAAAAAAACACCCAGCAACAGCAGCATTAAAACCTAAAATACAAGGCAATAACCTAGAATATAAGTAAAATGAAATCAGAAAGAAGACAGAAAACTGCATAGACATGTTGAGTTATTGAGAATTTCAAGTATCCATAGAAGGTGAATCTAATGCAAGCTACTGGGTTAATGTCCCATATATCATGTATTACATCATGTATAGCTATCAGCATACCAATCTATTCAACAAGGTGATTAAAGAATTATCATACAGCAGCATTATGATGAGAAATTATAGGGGTAACAATCGACAATAGCCATAGGTAAGGTGATCAAATGATGATGTTAAGATGTTATGTTGGTGTTGGTGGCAATCATTTGACATTGACATGAAAAAATCCAGAAAACATTCTGAGCATGTTGAACTTTTCTTGAACACAGAGCATGTTCAACTTAAAAACGACAAGCATCAAAACTCTAGTTAGTAAAAGTTACCAGATGAGATCCCAGCTGCTGATCCTGCTGCCACAAGAGACAGCCTTTTCCCACCCTCCCACTCAAACACATTACCAAATCCTTTGGCTATTGCAGAACCAATTTCCACACTGGGACCCTCAGGACCCAGTGAATTGCCAGTTCCAAGTGTGAAAGATGCTGCCACAGCTTTCAAGAATGGTCTAAATGCACTCTTTATCTTGGACACAGGGGCATTTGAGTTAGTTTTGATATAACTTCTTAGTGCGTTCAATCCACCTACTATAACCCCTCCACTGACCGGAACAAATATCACTCTCTGCCAGACTTCATCAATCGGCTCCTCCCTCAGCCATGAAGCGCCTCGCAAAGGAATACTGTCCCAAAATATGTCACGTATTTCATGAACCTATGGCAAGAAATATGGGCATCTTAAATCACAGTATGAGGTACTTTAAATGGACAGCACGTGAATTTAACAATGCCTCTTCACTCTTGAGTACTAAAATGGATCCAAGATGTTAAAGATTTCCGAGTGTGTCATTTAAACGTGACACAGACAACTTCAAGTTTATGCAACATACTTGAAGGGATGAAAAAAGAGACTGAATTATAAACAAGGCAGAACCTGGGTGATCCTAACCTGTAAGGTTGGAGGACAAATGATTAAAGCCTGTAACCTTTTAGGTGGGAACTAATGCTTTTGAAATCCGAGGACTTGTCAAAATATATATATAATGTGACTGAATAGCATAGCAAACTAATTCAGCAATGCTGGATGTCAGAATTCGGAAGCATGGTATACAACACCAAACCCCACTGTTCAGTTGCCTTCAACCCATTCACCTCCGAAATTGAAGTCGTCAAAGTTACTACGGACTCCATTTGACGCGGCGAATGAAACCATCAAACTTGAGCTCGTGAGGTGGCTGCCGTACCGAGAGGTTGAAGAGCACAACGGAGACGCCGGTGAGGAGGCCCACGAGGCAGGCGGTGAGCGTGACGAGGTCGCGACCAGCCACTGGCTCCTCCGGGGCCGCCTCCACCTCCTGACCCCCGCTCGCGGCCCCGCTCTCGTCCTCCTCCACCGCTCGTCGAACGACCCGAAGGCGTGCGCTCCCGCCTCTCCGTGACAGCCCCAGGGAGCGGCCGCCCGCGCGGCGGAGCCTGAGGAGAGTGGGCGGGGAGTGGGGCGAGGCGAGGAGGAGGTGCGAGGAGGAGGAGGGGGCTGCGGATGGCGCCATGGGGGCTCCGATCGCTCACAGGCTATCTCATTCTCATCTCGTGGAATCGTGATGTGGGCGCTGGCTCGCGAAGGCGAAGGGGGGCTGAGGAACGGCACGCAGCCAAGCGAACGCCTGCTCCTCCGAGTTCGGAGTTCCTGACCTTCCCCGACGGAGGGAGCCGTTTTTTCTGCGGTGGCCGTGAACCCGCGACGTGTCCCCGTTTATCCTCGGAGGTCGGAGCCTCGCTTTCTCTCCCCCCTGCCGCACAACGGCAGAAGCACGTTGCAAAACAAAGATGGGCCCAGGACCTTGGCGATGGTAGCCTGCAGATCTCGGGCCTGGCCCAAATCCGGGGTTTAGAGCTGTGGCGCCGTCCGAAGGCTGACGTTCTATCTTGGGAACTTTTTTTTTTTGGCGATTTCTATCTTGGGAACTTCAGGCAACATATTTACTCGTACATACTTTTGCTCGCAGAATAGCACAACCTTCGAATTTAAAAAGTTCGCCATTTCTAGAATCGTTGCACAACATGTTCACCGTTTCTAGAAACACTGCAAAACATAGTTTTGTTTCGATCTGGCCATGATACTGTCGAGGACGAGCTGCCCCAAGTCAACATCGACGGTCCAGACCAAAAACTGACCGCAACAAACGTTCCCCATCCTCATTTCCGTCGCCCGGAACCAGGCATCTACCAACGGGACAAAAATAACGAAGCTGGCAGTGACGCGCGGACAAGAGGGTAACGCTTTTATATGCTTGTGTGTAGGTGCGTAGGTGCACGTACAGCATATGGCGCATCACCATCACCATCAGCACAATGGCCGGAACGGCGGCCACCGCCTGGAGACGGTGATCAACATGGCGCAGCAGCCGGAGAAGCCAGCGGGCGTGGGGCGGTTCGGCTTCACGGGCGGGCTGGAGTTCACCAGCCTCACGTACACGGTCGTCAAGAAGCAGCGCGGCGCCGGCGGGGAGTGGGAGAAGAAGGACGTGGACCTGCTGCATGAGATCACCGGGTACGCCCCCAAGGGGTGCGTCACGGCCGTCATGGGCCCCAGCGGCGCCGGCAAGTCCACGTTCCTTGACGCGCTCGCCGGGCGCATCGCCAGCCTCGACGGCCGCGTGGCGCTCGACGGCGTCGAGATGAGCCCCAGCCTCATCAAGCGCTCCTCGGCCTACGTCATGCAGGACGACCGCCTGTTCCCCATGCTCACCGTCTACGAGACGCTCATGTTCGCCGCCGACTTCCGCCTCGGCTCCTCCGTCTCCGCCTCCGACAAGAAGCTCCGCGTCGAGAACCTCGTCGAGCAGCTCGGCCTCACGGTAAGACATGCACGCTGCAACTACTGTTAGACTAGTACTCTGCTTCAGAAATTCAAAACAGAACACTAATAAAGGCATCGTCGATGGTACCGTGCACTGCATGCAGTCCTCCAGAAACACGTACATCGGAGATGAGGGCACGAGGGGGGTGTCCGGCGGCGAGCGCCGGCGCGTCTCGATCGGCGTGGACATCATCCACGGCCCGGCGCTCCTGTTCCTGGACGAGCCGACGTCGGGGCTGGACTCGACGAGCGCGCACAGCGTAATCGAGAAGGTGCACGACATCGCGTGCGCCGGGAGCACCGTGGTGCTCACCATCCACCAGCCGTCCTCGCGCATCCTGCTGCTGCTGGACCACCTCATCATCCTGGCGCGCGGGCAGCTCATGTACAGCGGCGGGCCCAAGGAGGTGACCGCGCACCTCGGCCGCATGGGGCGCAAGGTGCCCAAGGGGGAGAACTCCATCGAGAACCTCCTCGACGTCATCCAGGAGTACGAGCAGTCGGAGTTCGGCGTCAAGGCGCTGGCCGAGTTCTGCCTCACCGGCCTGAAGCCGCCCAAGCTCACCGCCACCTACGGGCCCGAGGGGCTGTCCACCGTGTCCAGCATCGTCCAGACGCCGATCTCGGGCCCCGGCGGCGACGACGACTTCGATCGCAGCCTGAGGAGCCAGCACTCCAAGTCCCCGTGGAGCGGCGTGCGCCTCACGCCGTCCCGGCGCCCCAAGCACAAGGGGCCCGGGGCCCCCCACGACAACCACAGGTACACGCCGGAGATCGTGATGGGAACGCCGACGCCGATGAGCAGCGCGTACACGGTGAACGAGGACGACTACCTGACGCCGACGCACCGGGCGGGGCCGAACGCGACGGGCGCCCCCGGCGTGGGCGTCAACACGCTGGGCCACCGGGGCAAGTTCGCCAACTCGTACGTCGGGGAGGTGTGGGTGCTGATGCGGCGCAACTTCACCAACATCTGGCGCACGCCGGAGCTGTTCCTGTCGCGGCTGATGGTGCTCACGGTGATGGGGTTCCTGATGGCCACCATGTTCACCAAGCCCAAGGACAACACGCAGGGGATCACCAACCGCCTCAGCTTCTTCATCTTCACCGTCTGCGTCTTCTTCTTCTCCTCCAACGACGCCGTGCCGGCCTTCATCCAGGAGCGCTTCATCTTCATCAGGGAGACCTCGCACAACGCGTACCGCGCCTCCGCCTACGTCGTCGCCGGGATCATCACCTACCTCCCATTCCTCCTGCTCCAGTCGGCCACCTACGCCGCCATCGTCTGGTTCGCGCTCAAGCTCCACGGCCAGTTCCTCTACTTCCTCGTCATGCTCTACGCGGCCCTGCTGTCCACCAACTCCTTCGTCGTCTTCATCAGCTCCGTCGTGCCAAACTTCATCCTGGGGTAAGTCACTAAGTCCACCTGTTTCGTGTGTTTTTTTTGTTTTTTTTTTTGTTGTTACAAAATTTTGCAGTTATTTTTTTATAAAAAAAATCAGAACCTTTTCTTGTTCAGATCAGCCGTAGCCCAATCCATATAAAAAGATGGCTACTCATCAAATACGGCCCATCAAGATCAGTATTACAAGATTATATATATGGGCCGGCCTGCATTAACATATTACAAAATTTTGCAAATTTCTTTGTATATGTAGTTTTTTTTAAAAAAAAAACAGAACCTTTTCTTGTTCAGATCAACCGTAGGTCGTAGCCCAGTCCATATATATAAAAAAGGATGCCTACTCATCAAATACGGCCTATCAAGCTTAGCTTATTACAATATTATATATATGGGCCGGCCTGCAATAACATTAAGGAAAAGAGCCCATGCCTGTCCTAAACAACGGCCCAAACTGTACGAGACCGCGCGAGGCGTTTCTGATCTCTGAATGAATGCGACGGACGATGCAGGTACGCCGCGGTGATCGCGTTCACGGCGCTCTTCTTCCTCTTCTGCGGCTACTTCCTGGACAGCCACAGCATCCCGGTGGCGTGGAAGTGGATGAACACCATCTCGACGATGAAGTACCCGTACGAGGGCCTGCTGATGAACGAGTTCAACGGGGACCATGTCTTCGCCTCGGAGCCCGCCATCGGGCTGATCCTGACGGGCAACGACATCCTCAAGCAGCTGGGCATCAGCGTGGAGGAGAACCGCAAGTGGTGGATGGTGCTCTACCTCCTCGGCTGGGCCGTCTTCTACCGCGTCCTCTTCTACCTCGTCCTCCGCTTCGCCTCTAAGAACAAGAGGAAGTAGTAGCGACAGCTTCGTCATTAATTAATTATTGTTTCAGCCTCGATTGGTACGTTTAATGGTATGTAGACTTTGGATGTATGAGGAGGAGGAGAAGGTAAGTTTTCTTTGAAGCGACAAGGCGCCGGCCGGAAAGCCGGGTTGATTGATTATGTCATGATTGATTCCTAATGTAATTTTCCGAGAGCGATGTTAAGTACACCGGCCCCCTGATAGTAACTTTTGCACCGCCCAGGAACTACGCAATTGTCCTATACTAACGATAAAAGAGAACTAACGATAAAAGAGAACGTAATAAAGGATTGACAAATTATTATTGACATGGTACTTGTTCCTATGGAAGAAGACTAGGAAGCTGCAGCGATCGATCGAGAGTAGGTGCTTAGTTGCTTACTGACTGCTTAGCGTCCATCTGAATCTGGCTTCGTTTTCGGCAGCCAGACCATGCATTCACCAGCCACCACCTGTCACCACTCACCAATCAGCAGCGACTAATGACTTTGCTCGATGAACATATATATACAGGGAGAGTCAAACAAAATTAGCTGTGGCGGCCACGGCTGCAACCAGCATCCCATAGACGGAGTCGCCACGCATAGTCGACACAAAGCTATTACTGCATAGTCGAGGATGCAGACTAAAATTTGCAGCATGATTTAATGGGCAGGCTTTCCTTCTTATATTAGTACACGGATTAAGAGTAGTAAAATTTGAACAACCACTTACTAATATTGTAATAGTTCATAGCAGTTATCTAAGTGAGTAACAACATACCAAGTGGATTACCAACCAGGCAACCACATTGACATTAAGGTGCTAGTTCTGAAACTTAGAATCCAAAATCTTATATGCTAAGACAAGCATATTATTGAATACTTGCGGTATCGCTAACTAAAGGCTATTATCCAAAATCCTTCTAGAAAAGTCGAAAAAAAAATCCTTCTAGAAACAGGTGGTGGCGCTTGTCCCCGCCAGCCTTGCCTGATGCCGACACGCACCGTGGCGGTACGATCATGTATGGGCACCAAATGATGGAGCAGCCTGTGCTGTGTGTGTTAGGAAAACTTGACAAGCCATCGATCTGATCTGATCCCTCACCAGAACTATTAATTCGTTGGGATTAATACATGGTCCCGTCCGCCCGCGGCTCGCCTACCGTTTCTCTCTGCCTAGGTCTTCGTCAAACGTCTACTAATAATGCACGCAAAGTATCTCACTGTTCTCATCTCATGATAGTTGTACCTGATACCACCTATCGATCACAAACCTGCCGCTGTTATGGCATATTTGGTTCACCTTTTTTAGTTAGTCACTTTTAGTCACTAAAATACTAAACACCTTACTAAAGTTTATGGATCACTAAAATTTAGTGGGTTTTAGTCAACAAGGGGTAGTTAAAAGTGACTAAAATATACATGGGACATCTGCTTTAG